TACAAATAGCAAACCCTGAATTGGGTTGTACTCACTACAGAGTACCCCACTGCAGGCTAAACAGCAAATACATTTGACAGTAGGGACAAAGAGTGGCAACATGAGCAGACTGGTTGAGGGGCGGCGGGGACAAGCAATAGGGAATGGAGGAGGGGGCAGACAGCAGCATGCTGTGTGGTTAGGGTGCAGCCTATCGCACACGATGATAACAATCAAGGCTTTCATACCTGCATGACGACCCTGTGCTCATAGGCCGCGACACATGCTCCGGTCTCGAAGTAGGCGTTCTCTGGAATGCGCATGTGATTCAGACGTGTGCGGTCGCGAATGAGTGACAGGCGCCTGTCCATACACATCAGTTTAACGGTGGCACAAATCCATAAACATGTCAGTAAGAGCACAGTAGTTTTGCTTTGAGTTTTTGTGACCAAGAGCAATGAATCCAATCCCCCAAAACACTGACCTGTCCATCTGCTTCACGCGCCGCTTCTTCATCTTGCCACAATGTGGCTCATGATGCCCAAGTCCGCCTGGTTCATGATGTCAGGCATGACAACGAGGTAGGGATTGCCCCACGCGGTCCTTGGGACATCCCACTTCCAGAGCCGGGGATGTGGTGGGGAATGGAGGAGATCTGTACTTGTGAGACCCGGGCAGCCAACGTAAACAAAATGCCTGGTGATTTGAATGGGGCACAGCACATCTGACCATTCCTCGGGGTTTAGGATTGCATAGACTGCACAGTAGCCCGGGCAACAAGTCGCTTACCTCAACAGGGTAGGTCGAGTAGGTCTTGCAGGGGTTGTCCTGGTTAGTTGTCATCCCAGCCGCCTTGTTAACGATCCATTGCTGCTGTTTAGGCGTGCGCGGCGTGTTCCGTGCCTTGACAGCAACTTGATGCTCCTGTTGTCGCACGGGGGTGTGGGATGGGATACAAAGGTAAGGGTGGTGAGTTCATGGGTTGTATAAGGCGACGTTCAAACGACTTTGGCATGAAAGCTCACCTTTGCAGCATAGCAGATGCTGCACGGCATCCGCGATCCATGCGAGAGTGTGCAACTGATCTTGCCACTCTCGGGGTTGTCGCACACCCAGGCGTACAGCAGGGGCCGCACGGTTTGCCAATCACCGAAAGGGTCCCTAAGACGGAACCCGCTGCAAGGAACAGGTAGAGTGGCATCAGGAATTGGGAGGACATGATTTGTGCATGTACGAAAAGGTGCAAAGGAGACTGCTACATATCGTGACGCCCTGCATACTATGCAGGTGATTGGGTGACGACATAGCAAGATGCAACACCGGGTACGGACCTTTCCATGCCATCGAGAAGCGGCTGCAGCATGGTGGTGACGCATCGTTGGAAGAGCATCACCTTCTCCATGGCAGACATTGCAGAAGGGGGGATAGGAAGGAGGGCAAGTAGCGTGTGGCCGGCTTTCCCCCATCGTTTGGCCTGGGAGATGTTAGCAAGCGTCATCATGAGCGGCCACGCCTTCTTCTGGCCATTGTTGCTCATGTGCGTCACATCCGAATATAGGATGATTCCCCCCACGACTTCGGTCCAACCAAAGTGTTCTTGCAATGCACGACAAGGTGGCAATGGACACACGGTCAAACACCACCAAGGCAACTGGTCGCCAGGTGGGTTAAACGACCTTCATAGCATGTTCATCGAACATGACACACTCATCATGCACCAGACACATCAGTGCAGCAACGGAGGCATGACCACGGATCCAGTTTTGGGTGGCAACGGGGTATATCCATACCTGATCATCATTCCACCACGTTCCTGTTTCCGGCGTGGTATAGCGACGGTCGCCTGTGTCAGGGTCCTCATCGATCCACGGCTTGAGCTTGAAACCGGGCGCGTTGTTGGTATGCCCAAATAGTTCAGCGAATGCCTGGTTTACGGTGACGAAGGCAGTAGAGAAGAGGGGCATGGTTAGATGCGTTGATTGGTGGGTCCGATCTCATACAAGGAGAACGAATATAACTTCATACAAGAACCACAAGGTTGCCGCATCAGCATTTCACTGCCAAGGATTCAGAGTCGGCTTACCTGAGCTGAGTTTTGGAATAGCAGGCGCTGAGGTGGATGACCGTCAATCTCGAATGTCGCCACCGACCATCCGCGATTGAGCCCTGCCAAGCGCTCCATCTCGAACCGCTCCAGATCCTTGCAGTTCCGGAGCTCCGAGGTCACAAGAGGCGCAAGGCCGGGCTCTACCACGAGCTGAAGCAAGCCATTGATGTCAACCTCCGCCATTCCCATTCCGCCATTCACGCGCCGAACGAAATGAAGCAGCTTCAACGCGAGCGGATTGAGGGGTGTGGCATCAAACTGTCCGGAGATGCTTGTAGGCGGCGAGGCTTGACTCCCTTCAGGCTGGCTCTCAGGATGCTCACTCGTGTCAGCTGCAGGTGTTCCTGGTGGCGGTTGATGTTCATCTTCCGGAGCCCCCTCGTTAACAGCCAAGGGTGTTTTGTCCTCGTCAGGTTCAAGCACGTGAGGAGGACCGCTCACACTGACGGTGTTGGATGCGTTAGACGCGGTAGGTGAAGCGGGAGCAGTGGGAGCGTTCGAGAGAATGTCGTGGACAAATAGCAGAGCGTGTAGAATGGCGGACGGTGTAGATCGCGAGGGCCTTGCCACGGCGGAAAGCCCTTGACAAGGGGTCCGCCGTGACTTATGACCGCCATAAACTTGGGCGTTGGGGAACCATCTGTTGCAGAACTTGCAGACAATGCCTGGCAAAGAGCCCATGTGTTACAGATTCGTCTAAGAGTGGAGAAATGACCTATGAAGCAACTAGCCTGTTTGAAGTTTGTGAACGCATCAAATATACCGTCAACGAAGGCTGTGACTGCAACACGGTCATCGCCAAAGCGCGAACTCTCCATGGCGGCTTGTATCTCTGCACGACTGGCACTTGAGCGTGGCGCGATGGTTATGGACTGGCTAATGATGGTCGAGCAGCGCGGCCGTGAAAAGGCACGATACAGACCGCCAACAACACGGCATTTCCCTTTCCTACAAGGCGTCTCGCCCCCTCTTAGAGCGACTACGACGTGAGCAGGGCCATATGCACTGGAGTTTAGCACGCTTGGTCGTGAGTGTGCGTCGCAAGCACGGTGAGAAGTACGTGCCTCTTGATTCAAAACTTGGGTTTTTGAATCGTGCGTGAAAGTCGAGGGGGATGAGGAAGAGAGGGAAGAGATCCGTTTGGTGCTGTGATTCTTTCGAGAGTAGCTATAGGGGGAAATTGCAATCACGTAGGTGAGCCCAAAGTGGTGCGCACCTCTAGAGACTTAATCCAAACCAGGTAATGACAATGTACAGTTACATTTTACATAGACACTCGATTCAATTATAATTAGTATTGTACAAACATACTTATGGGCCTGCACAAAAACAACCCCTAATTGACAACGGTAGTGTTTGTAAACCCTCCTAGTTCTCTAGTGTGGTCTGGAAACATACAGGTATTACCCATGAACTCAGTGTGTTTCCGTAAGATTGTTGCATGTACCGAATATGTATATCGTCACTTCACAAGAGGTTTTGGGGACCTCAAAGCACCTTGCTGAATTAACATGCAAGAATGGAGCCCAATCTAATACAATAATACAACGGTTTCAACGTCGGATGCAATACCACAACGGTTTCACCATGACATGCAACACATGGGAGTGAATGATGCAGCGTCGCCCTGTCTGAACATGGCTGTCGATAACGCATCACCGCTTGTGCGTTAGCCCTGTGCTTCATACCATTCCTTTTATGCACCTTGTATAAGGTCCATACAAGAATTGAGCCCAATCCAACACCATACCACAACGGTTTCACCATGTCGCGCAAAACATGGGCCTGAACGATGCAACATCGCCGCTTGTGCGTTAGCCCTGTGCTCCATACCACACCCTTTATGCACCTTTGATAAGGTCCATGCAAGTGTTGAGCACAATCCAACACCATACCACAACTGTTTCTCGTTTGGCACTAGTGATCGTCGTGTTCGATTTCGTATAGCGACGCGTAACCGTTGTGGCATAGCCTAATAGTGCTTAGTTCAATTGTATGAAGTAATAATTCTGGAAGCTCTTTGTGTGTGTGACATGATACAAACCCACTACCTTACCACAACCCCAGACTATTACACCAGCAACAAATTTTTTGTTGATTGTATTTGTTGTAGTTTTAAATGGTATTTAGCTCGTATGTGCAACATTGTTCGTTCGCGACATCACCGTACTTTGCAGGGTTTAGGTTGCGTTCGCTCAATTGGTTCAAAAACTGTTCTAGCATGACAGGTGATTGATGCGTTGGCAACACTGATTGGCCAATGCATCTCAAACGACCCCTCCCACAACACAAGCATCCGCCAAGCGGTACTTCCGCCATTGAGCGGCTGTGATCGAGTGGTGGGTGGGTTTATGTTCGGGTGGCTACACCTACACCGTCCGATCTAGCCTGATCTGATTACAGTAATCTCTCTAGTCGCGCAAGCCACCCCAACCACCCTCGTGCCCCACCCAACTGCTTCCGTCACCCTCTGGCCCACAACTTTGACGCTGCTCGCTGTTTGACACAGGCGTTTCCAGATCGCCCGTAACTCACCAATCGACTAAGTCATGGGCCGTAGCTCTTAGTGACTACTATTTCAGTATTGATTGAAGCGGAGGTTTTCGGAGAGAGATGACAGAATAGACCGTCAACTCTCCCTTCGTTACATTCATTTGCGGTTCCCCTTCGAAACCGGCTCCACCGTTCTGCCTTGTAGAAATTCGCATTCGTAATACAACCATGACACGTGCAACACGGCAAAAAGAAAAGGAGGAGGAACAGGCCGGACGTTGCGCGACAAGGAGGCTGTCTGAACAGACCGATAGGGAGGGTGGTGGCGGCTCTAAAGGTACTAAAAAAACTGGCGAGAAAAAAGGCCGCGTTTGGACAGGAGAAGTCCGGCAAGAAGGCGGAAGAGAAGGGGAAGCAACCAATGCCACGTGAGCGTGTTTCTACCGTGAAAAAAGATGCGGATTTTGCCTCTGGTAGAACCGATCCCAGTCTGACTAACGAAGGCACCATCGGCGCCAAAGAAGATCCGGGGCGAGGGAGCGTGAGTCTTGCAGTCCCATCGGCGGAGAGAGAGGGGTCGGCGACAAGGGGAAACCATGGCGACGCTCCCCGCGCCGAGCATGCCGCAACCCAGGAGTGCGAGGCGGAGGCATCCCAATACGGACAGACGCTGCTCCAGCCGACCGTGGTCGAAATTTCTGCTGCCATGGTGGATAAGGCCAAGGCGGGGGAGCACGATTTGATGGAGGATCTCCAACACAGCATTGCCGACGTAGGTGGCTCTCCTCCTTCTGTTGGACGTGGGAGGCGTAGGCAGAGGAGGAGCGATGGGGAAGAAGAGTATGACACCACCGTGCCCGGGGACATCAATACGCGGTCGAAGAGGCGGCAGACAACAGGCGGTGCTGACGACGCCGGTGGTGCGGAAGTTGGGACATCGCGAGGCGCCAGGAAAGCAAGTGGCAAGGCGACGGATCATGCATTGCGCAAGAAGGGCCGACCCGCAGCGAGGAGAACATCCGGCGGAAGGAGGGGCAAGAAAGCAGCGAGGGTGAAGAGGCCGAAACGGGGTGAAGAAGACCCTGATGATGCGGAGGAGGAAGATGAGGGGGATGCGGGGGATGAGGAGGAGGCTGATGAGGAGGAGGATGCGGAGGAAGAGGAGGATGAAGAGGATGCGGAGGAGAACGCGGATGTTGGGGAGGAAGAAAAAGATGAGAATGATGACGAGGAGGACGAGGAGGAGGAGGAGGAGGACGACGACGAGGAGGGGGGCGACGAGGATGAGGAGGAGGAGGAGGAGGAGAGGGACGACGGGGATGAGGAGGAGGAAGGGGAAAAGGAGGAGGAGGAGGAGGATGTGGCGGCAGTGAAAGGACGGGGCGGGCGAGGCTGACGGGGGAGTGGTACAGGGAAGGTGGGGGGGCGGACTCGCCATTCCCGAAAACGCGGGGCGGGTAACGCCCTGCGTGGCGAAGCAGCGGGCAAACCGAAGACGCGTAAAGTGAAGGTCGAAAGCGAAGGGGTTGGTAAGAAGCAAGGGAGCCAGGGATCAAAAGAGGATGGTGAAGGAAAGGGCGGCCGTGCCAAAGGGGTTCCAGTGGGTTCCGGAACAAAGAACCAGCCGGTAAACGTCGCAGCGGCCGCCAAAGCACCCCACGGAAAGGTGGCAATGAGAAGGCGCAGGCAGCGAAAAAACCAAAGGGTCAGCTGAAAGGTAAGCACTGTGGCCCATACACATGGCGTGGCTGCTGAACTCTCTGCTCAACCGTGCCAATTAACACATTTCTTCACATTGTTTCTCCCCTGCAGGGAAGTGTTATTGTCACAATAGGCTTGAATGTGCCTAAAACGAAAGATAGAGTGCACAGACGGATTTCTGCACAGCGCCTTCAAACGTTGGTATTGTTCTGCTCACAGCTGAAAAAGACTTGATTCAAATTGGATCTGGAGCGTCGTGACGTCGCCTACACTTTGCAATTTAGATTGCACAATTTCATAGAGAATTGACGACACATCGTCGGTTTGAACGAACGGTAGTATGGCAGCCACTATAGTCTTAGAACACAAATTAGGAAGAGTTACGAGTTGGGAATGACTCCCAGCTCCTACAAACCCCAAGAGCCGATGTACAGTGATGTGGAACAGTGCCATACTGTCCCCAACCACGAAGGGTCTCGAAACTACCCTCCACAAGGGCCTACACCAAGAGAAATGTTACACTACACAGAGTAATGCAACTATTCTCACTATCTTAAAGTTTACCCTTTTGGAGAGCGTCGAATTCACTTGATTCTTGAAACCAAGGCTCTGGTTCTTCAAGATAAATTCTTCCTTGAGTTCTTGGAAGTCTGCTGCGCACACCTGCGACACGCCGAACGTTCTATACACGACAAAATAGAAAACCGCACACGACACGCAAACGACGACGTGACACGCGACTAGCGATAACTCGCTATTGACTCGACACACACATTCAAAATCATGCCTCATCATTCACACACTATTGCAAGCATGAAATATATATTATTTCATGCCCTCATACCATTCCATGCATACACGCATGCACGCACACGGACAACAAGCCAAATGCAAACCGTAGGGTTGCACCAACAAACTCCCCCTCGGATTGTTGGCTTTAGGATCTTGCTCTCTCAGTTCAGAGCCATCCCAGCCAGCTTGCAACACTTCCAATGCTGCTGCTCCACCAGCCTCTTGGTTATCATGTCAGCTGGCTGCCCCGTTGTCTTCACGTAGCGCAACTCAACTTCACCCGCGACCACCATGCTCCTCGTCCAATGCCACTTCACCCTCATGTGATTTGTGAGGCCATGCAACACAGGGTTCTTAGCAAGAGCAATGGTACCTTGGCTGTCACAGTAGAGTGGGGTAGGTCCTTGCTGCTCCTCCCCCAATTCAGCCAACAAATGCCGCTGCCACACAATCTCTCGTACGGCACGGAAGAGTGCCATGTATTCGGACTCCACCGAGCTCAATACTTGATCCACCTGCTTCTCGCTCTCCCAAGCAGTTGGGCCTCCACCAACACAGCAAATGAAACCTCCAACACTTGTCATGTCCTCCGGTTCCGAAGCATAAGAAGCATCCGAGAATGCGGTGAGGAACAAACGCCCCGGTTCAACACCATCCGCGCCCTTTTGGCGCCTTTGCGCCGCCACCGAGTATTGCAGCCCAACGGTCGGTGTTTAGCCAAGATACTTGGCCACCCTCATTCCAGCTGCTACCTGCTCCTCATTAGGGCATTGAACAACCCTAGCCAACTGTCCGGTAGCAAACGCGACCTCCGGTCGGGTGTTTACCGCCACATACATGAGGCTGCCCACCAACGAGTGAAAACGACGCCTCTCCTCTTCACCAACGCTCTCCTCCTATGGTCCCTTCACACACTTGAATCCAGAGGGAAAGGGTGTAGCCACATGGCCTTCACTCTGCCCAAAGTTTGCAGCCAATGCCTCCAGGTACTTCCGTTGATGCACCCGCATGTACCGCTTCTCCACATCTCGTTCGATGTGGAACTCGAGGTAGAAGCTCACGTCACCAAGGGCCTTGCACTTGAAATTGTCTTGAAGCTTCAGCATCACCTCCTTCACAAGGTCAGAGGAGGGTGAGAAAATGAGGATGTCATCCACATAAACCACCATGAAACTCCTCTGCTCCCCCTCGCCAAGCATGAACAAGGAATGATCGGCGGATGAGGGAGTGAACCCGATCTCCTCCAAGACTTCACGCAGCTTCAAGTACCACTGCCTAGGGGCTAGCTTGAGCCCATAGAGGGCCTTCTTCAGCTTCCACACTCTGCCATTACCATCATCAAACCCCTCTGGCTGCGCCATGAAAATCTCTTCTTCGAGAATGCCGTTGAGGAACGCGGTTGTCACGTCCATTTGAATCACCACCCATCCTTTGATGGCAGCACCCGCGAGTAGGGTTCTCAGCGTTGTCGGCTTCACCACAGGAGCAAACAACTCCTTATAATCCACCTTCTCCTTCTGCTGGTACCCCTTGACAACAAGCCTAGACTTGTAGCGCTCGATTTTGCCGTCGGCGTCGGACTTGATCTTGAAGAGCCACTTGGACGTAATCGCCTTACGCCCCTTCGGTAGCTCCACCAATTCCCACGTGCCGTTCTCCTCAATGCTCTTTAACTCATTTTCCATTGCCTTCTTCCACTCCTCAGCATCACTACTCTCTAAGGCCTCCTTGAGAGTTGCTGGTTCCCCCGGCATCTCCACCGGAGAGAAGAACGCGAAGGCACACTCGTCGTAGTCACTCTCCTCGTCATCTCCAACTATAAGTGCCGCTTCGGCTAGAGCTGACTTGGCTGGCTTTCCCAATGCATCATAGGTCAGCCTATTAGGGGCTTGAATTCTCCTCTTGCCCCTTCCTTCCTCCTCAGCTGCAGGGACATGAAGGCCTTGGCGTTGCTGCGGACTGACTCGGATCCGTGGAGCACTCGTAGTGCGAGAAGGAAGTGTCGGTGCACGCTCGCTCACTTGCTGCACCTCCTCCTCTTCTTCCTCTGCATCCTTGGCCTCCTCTCCCCCATTCACAAGGGAAGATTGCCTTGTGGTGGTGCTGCTGCTGCTCAGCTCTAAGGGCAGCTCCACATGCTCCAAACCGGAACTCTTCACCTCCCCAAACCGCACGCCAATCTTCGCCTCATTCTCCGCCTTCCAATCCTTATACATCAGGTTCTCCATGAATTTGCAGTCCCTTCTCACCAAGAAATTCTTGGTGAATGGGTCCCAAAGAAGCCACCCCTTGCTGTTTTGAGCCATGCCCAAGTGCACAGCCCATATCGCCTTGGCACCGAGCTTGTTGTGCCGAAGATGCTTAGGCACGAGCGCCATGCATATGCACCCGAACACCCGAATCATATCCACCTTTGGCTTCTTTCCAATCCACTCCACATAGGGCACCCATTTGTCTGCTCCCACATGAGTCAAAGCTCTGTTCTTGGCCACACACGCACTCCGCACCGCATCAGGCAAGAAATAGTCGGGTAGCCCGGCTTCAATGAGCAACCCGCGCGCCGTCTCCGTGATTGTCCGGTTCGCTCGCTCGGCGATGCCGTTCATTGCAGGGGAGAATGGCATGGTAAGGGAGTGCCTTATGCCATTCTTCTTCAGCCAGAATAAGAACTCCTTGCTCAGGAACTCTCCCCCTCGATCGGTGCGAATTGCCTTCACTAACCGGTCTTGTTGCCGCTCCATCTTCGGCAACCAATCGGTCTTCACCGTTTCAGCCACGTCACTCTTCTTGGACAACATGTACACCCATGTCATGCGAGTGTAGACGTCCACAATGGTGAGAAAGTACTCAGCTCCAGCAGATCCAAGCTTCAGAGGGCCCACCACGTCCATCAGCACCTCATCAAGTGGTGCCTTAGCCGTTGCCTCCGAACTAGAGAATGGGTAACGGGTGAACTTGGCTTGCATGCACGTCGGGCAGCCAAGCACCTCATCGGGCTCCCCCTTCACACGTATGCCAGCAACCATCTCATTCTTCACTAGCTGATGCAAGATGGGCAGGGCCACATGCCCCATTCGCCGATGCAAGGTGAGCCAATCACACTCCCCCATAGCCGAAGTCAGATTGGAGAATGCCGCACTCGCAATAGTGCCCCACATGTTCTCTCCGTACTCCTCCTCCGCTGCTGCCTTGGGGTTCTTCTCACCCTTGTGCTGCTTCTGAGCTGCTGCACCACTCTCCTCGTGTTCACCGAGCTTGCTGGTCCCTCCAAGATTGCGCTTCATAGACTCAATCTCCTTAGCGCGACCGTTCGCGCCATCGCCGCTACCAACCGCTTCACCCTTGGTGCTGATGCTTGCTGCCACTTGCCTTAGGCATGGGTACCACAGGGATCTGCCACATCTCGTTGTAGACATCCCTATCCTTGTGAAGGTCCCAAAGAATCCGCTCGCCAAGCCTCGCGGTGTAGGTCTTAGCTCCCTTCGAGCTCGTGTCCATGCCGGCCTTTTGCAACCGCCGCACGGAAATCAGGTTGGCAGCAAGGTTGGGCACCCAAAGCACGTTCTTGAGGCCCACCATCTTCCCATCAGCACCCTTGAACATGGCCTTGCCCATGCCTTTCACCTCTGCTCGCTGCCCCAAAGCCGATGTCACATGCTTCACCGGTGACGGCTCAAGTTCGGTGAGCAAGTCCGCACGAGGTGTCATGCTATAGGTAGCGCCGCTATCGATCACCCAATAGTCCAAGGAGTGTAGGGTGACCTTCCCCACAGCTGCTGGCTCCTCAAAGCCTTCATCCTTCTCTGGACCAGCCAGTGCTTGCGTGGACACGAAGAAGAATTGACCCGGAAAGCGATCGTCCCTCGACTCGCTCTCGTTGCCGGCACTCTTCATGTTTGCAGC